GACGATTTTTCGCTCACAACCAACGGGGCCGACGCCGGTGGCTGGTTTTCCGCGACACGAGCTCTTTGACGCTATCGCGTTAAAAAGACAAGAGAAGGGGAACGAGTTCTCCTTACGTGGCTGGTATCGACGGTCGGAGTCGGGGCTGTCCTGACGGCACTGGCCTCCTTGTCCGCAGACATCGGCGCCGGCGACGTCCGCAGCAGGTCCTCTTCTAGCTGGGGCGTCGAGCTCAGCATGGGCGTCGACCTCGGGCTGGCCAGTTTGGGAGGCGTGCAGTCCATGCTGCGCTCGGCGCGGTACTTGCGCACCAGCAGCCAGATCACGGCTGCCACAAGCAGCGCGGCGGCCAAGACGAGCACGAGCGTTACCACGTCCACGTACGGGTCGCTTGACATGGGCCGCGCGACGGCCACTCGAAGTCCCCCCTGAGAGGCTCCTTTTCGGTCTCCCAGGCAGGACGCGGCATGGAATGGCTTCGCTTTCTCCCCTTTTTCGCGGTCTTCCGCGTCCTTCTTCGAAGAGGTGTGTGTCACGAGAAACCGAGGTCCTCGGAGAGCTCGATCAGGCCACGACCTCCGAACGCGATGGCCTCTTCTTCTTCTTCTTCTTCTTCTTAGTCTTGCCCTCTCGCGCGCGTGACGGCTCGAGCCGAGTCGCTGTACTATGGACGCTATCGCATTACGCGATGCTGCGAAAATCCGCCATCTCGATGGCTCTGATTAACCCAGGGGATTTTTGCGGCCTCTATAGTTGGCTTAAAACGCCGCCATCACGCGAAATGTGCAGTGCCCATGATAACACCCCGAATTCTCTAAATGGCGGTGATGAATATTGTTAAACACATATTATGCACTATAGAAAAAATGAGATAGGAGAAGAAATAATAAGTAGTCGGAGAAGGAAAGCAAGGTAGTAAGGTCAACTGCACTAGGTATGAGACATCAGGTAAGGTGAAGAAGGAAGTCAACCATCCACCTGTGATTGTTTTCTTGCTCAGGTTTTCTTTTTTTAATTTCTCACTCTCTGTATCAATATTTTTTAGATAATGTCTCTCTTCATCCACATCATTATTTTTTGGTAAACAATAGTGCAGTTATCGTTCATAAGATACTATATGATTTCTTGGTCAATGACTTAGAATGGGTATCAGCCACGAAATCCTGGCTACAAACAAACAGACGCCTGTGTTGTTTGCTATCCTGCGCAAAGGTAGGAATGTTAAAATGGCCCTGCAATGACATTCCGAGTGGCCAAGGAATGGATTCACTGAAGGAGCTTATTGCCTCACGAATTCAGCGCTGCCAAAAATTTTTCATAGTCCGTTCAGTGCGAGCGGAGTTACAAAAATTTGCCTCAGATTGCAATTTCATTCTCCCTGCACTCGTCCCGACGAAAGCTATTGCACCGCTTTACCGAGAGTAGCGAAGAAGCTTTGGCCCACCCTTTACCGCAAAACATGCCCTCTCCTTTTTTGGTGGGTGCGCTTGTTTCGGAAAAAACAAGCTTGCATTCCGTTTGTGTGGAATGGTGTGAAAAAGAGATCTGGTATAGTCAGCCGAATGACGCCAGGCTTTAGACGAACATAGTCTGAAATTTTTCAGAGTGTCTTTTAATTTTAAATACGCGACAGTGGTCGTAAGGTTTGTCGGGGCTCATATTTCAGGACTATGTCGGCTTTATAAATCGGTGCATATTACTGAAATACCGACGAAAATGTATGTTCAAAGCTTTGTTACCATTGCCAAAGTCAAATTTACTATTCCTGTGTGCACATACCCTAGAGCACAGCTGAGGGAAAGTTTGCGAGGCCGTGCAAGATTCCACTGTGCAGTCGAAGATATTTTCTCAGTAACCTCCATTCTAAAAGGTTCTCAGTTAACAAATGTAGGCTACAGAAAAGTTTTCTTTGATATAAATCATTTATTGATCCTTAAGTATACGAACCAATTAATCCAAATTTTTTCTCAAGAGTAATTTACAAAAAAATCAATATTTCTGTTAATATTCTTTGCGATAGTATTTAAATATATCTATATTCCATTTATTTGTTGAGCTACTCGATTCTTGGCCTATCCCCCAAGGTGGGTGTGAGCCACAGGTTTAGGATCTACATCTACATCTACTTCTGGCTGGCTGGACACCACAGCCGCTGCTCTGCTTCGGCAGCTCGCTTCCGTCCTCAGCTGATGTCTTCGTCTGCTCATTAAACTAGCGACAATGACTCGTCTACGTCGGACACCGTCACGTTGCTACATACCAAATTCTAGGCAATTAAATAATTCGATACGTTCGGTATACTTGACCTTATGTTCTTGTAAGCAAGGCTTCTACAAACGTGAATAATGCTGATGGCATTTTCTTTTATCATATTGGTGCTTATTTGGCTGCCATAACAGTCTCGTTCTGATGCTTATATGCAGTTGTCTTTATTTTTTTAGTGTTGTAACAACAACGCCAATCGACACCTGCCTTCTCCATGGCGGTGGTCGACACGAGGGAACGAACTCTGGTGACGGGATCTGCGAGGCTCCCATCGTCTGAGGTGGCAGAAGAAATGGCCTTAGCCCTCGCAATAATTCATAGTGGAAATGAGGACACTCTTATCGTGAGTGACGCCAAGACGGCGGTCCGAAACTTTACGAAGGGATGGGTCTCTGTCGAGGCGGCGCACAGGCTAAACGCCAGAGCCGAAGATTTCAAGTCTGGCGCGATTGCTGCCAAGCCTCTCAAGTGGTTCCCCGCGCAAGTGGGAGAGCTTGGCAGCGACCAAAGATCTGGCGAGAAGAAGAAGAAGAAGAAGAAGAAAGAAGAATAAGAAGAAGAAGAGAGAAGACAAGAAGAAGAGAAGAAGAAGAAGAAGAAGAAGAGAAGAAGAAGAAGAAGAAGAAGAAGAGATAGAAGAAGAAGAAGAAGAAGAAGAAGAGAAGAAGAAGAAGAGAGAAGAAGAAGAAGAATAAGAAGAAGAAGAAGAAAGAAGAAGAGAAGAAGAGAAGAAAGAAGAAGAAGAAGAAGAAGAAGAAGAAGAAGAAGAAGAAGAAGAAGAAGAAGAAGAAGAAGAAGAAGAAGAAGAAGAAGAAGAAGAACTGCATAAAATTGATTTAAAAGGCAAGGCACCGTCCTAATCATGGCCTATCCCCCTAGGTGGGTTGCGCCAAGTTGTTGAGGAACCAACCAACCAACCAACTGCGTTTGGTATGTGCTATCAGAGATGGAGAATAAGAAGGTCGGCCAGACGCCTGTGATTACTTTCTTGCTTTTTAATAATTTCTGATTCTCTAGATCATTATTTTTGTCATAATGTCTCCCTTTTTGTACATCACTCTTTCTTGGTAAACAATAGTGCAGTTACCTTCCTTAGGATACTACATGATTTCTTGGCCGATTCCCCAGAGTCGGTGTGTGAGGTGTAATCCAGTCTGCAACCAAACAAACAAACAAGAAACAAACAAACAAATATACAAACAAACAGACGCCTGTATGGTTTGGTATCTTGCGCTGGGTTAAGAATATGAAATTGGCCCTACAATGCTTTTTTAAGTAGCCATGGTACGAATTCGCTGAAGGAGCTTATTGCCTCACGAATTCAGCACTGCAAAAAATTTCAAAGTCCATCCAATACGAGTGTAGTTACAAAGATTTGCCTCAGATTGCAATCGCATTGTCACTCCACTCGTGCCGACGAAAGCTATATATTGCACAGCTTTTCCGGAAGTAGTGAAGAAGCTTTTGACCGCCCTTTGCCGCAAAACGTGGCCTATCTTTTCTGGTGGGTGTGCTTGTTTTGAAAAAAGACGCACACATTCTGTTTTCATGTAACGGTGTAAAAAAGAGATCCGGCATAGTCAGTCAAATGATCTCGGGCTTTAGCTGAACACAGTTTGGAATTTATACAGAGGGTCCTTCAATTTTAAATATGCAATTGAACAGCGGTCGCAAGGTTTGTCGCGGCTCCTATTTCAGGACTATGTCGACTCTAGAAATCGGCGCGTATCGCCCGGTTACCGACGAAAACGTATGTTCGAAGTTTTTTGAAATATTTGATTATGAAACAAATATCTGGAGTTCCCCTTTAAGAATTGCCGATCGGTTACAATCCACTTGGTCGGCGTCGACGATCGCCTCACTGCAAGGGTGACACTGCTTTGTGGCATGCCCATTGACCACCATGTAGGTGAGTTCACTTTCTCTTATGCCAGATAGTCCTACTGTACCCACATGAGCTTTTGCCGGCTTGATCTGTGACATTTTTTATTGTGATGGCTGCCTCCCTTTCCGGTGGTTTCCGCAGGTGTTCACTTAGTCTGTCATAGCTACAATTATACAATATTGTTACAAGGTGACGTCCCAAATACAACAGTGCGGGTCCACATCTGCAAAGCCGAGGAGGTAAACTGATCGCTGAGGTGATCGCATCGCGTAGAAATGCGACATTTCTTGGAGAGCACACAACAAGACAACGCACAAGATGGAACACAGAAAAAAAAAAGTTTTGGATAATCACTGGAGGTTTATTCAAATGGCACAAATATATACAGCTAATCACGTGAGTAGAATAAATGCAGAATGGAACCTACGTACGAAGAATAGAAACCGTTGTTCTGAGAGTGACACTGGAGGTTGACTTATGTGTCATTTTTAGTGTAGAGGTCTGCTTCAGTTATTTTTCTTGCCCTTTGGTCATGATGCAGCAGATTGACGGTGGTTCATGGGAACAAAGGTGTGCAGCCGCACACTCTGCAGTGGCTTGGAAGATTTGATGACGTTGCCGTCTTGAAAGAGTTGACATGCTCCCTTAGTCTCATGTTGATGCAGAGGCCTGTCTGGTACACGCTGGAAGACGTGCAAGAGATTCAGTGCTTGTTTCCTGTCGTGACGTCTGGTGCGCTGCCAAAAAAAATTGAAAACGTTCGTGCTCGACCGCACTTTGTTCAAGAAACACAATTCAGGCACACTCAAGAGAACACTTTTCACATGCTCGAGCACATCGCGAGAGGTCATCAGTGGCCAGGCTTGCCGCTAGGAAGGTAGTGAGCCCAGTAGGCGATCATGAATAGAACAAACACCGAAGGAAAGACGGCTCGAGAGACGCTGTCGAAGACGTTGGAACTGCTGATGCTCAGGAAGCGGAACTTCGAGAGAAATGTGAGCAGTTTGCTGGGCTGGAGCAGAGGCTTTATCGGGAACCTGGACGAGGACGGCGCAGGAAGGTTGCCGTGGTGAGACACGGTGGAAGCCATGGATTCAGCGGAGCCCAACACGTCGTTCTCGGTGATGTCCTCGTCAGCTATGGCACCGTCTCCCTGGAAACCCTGTGGAAGAGTGTAAGCACAGAAGCGGGAAGCAAATGTTGTTCAAGCGGACAATAACTCGGTTTTTAAAGCTGTTCAAGCTTGTCTTCCGGCCGTTTCGCGTTTCCAAAAAAGCTGTCAGCTGTGCCTAGCGCGCGCAATAAAATTTCATGGCCGGAAAGCACTGTTTTTGTTATCTTCCCCGTCTTTGCATTTACAGTAATTAAAAACAGTTTGTCATTGACGTACATTCATGACATGACTACCGCCTACTAATTTGACGGATAACACCTCTGGTTGGAGGGGCAACGCAAACATTTCTTCAATGCACGTGGACTCAGAAGAAAACAAGAAAAGCGATATAGAAAAGAGAGAAGGAAATCAACGGAGTGGAAATGGCTCATTGATATTTGGGGTTTACCGTCCCAAAACCACCATATGACTATCAGAGACGCCGTAGTGGAGTGCTCCGGAAATTTCGACCACCTGGAGTTCTTTACCTTGTACCCAAATTGGAACACACGGGCCTAAAGCATTTCCGGCTCCATCGTAAATGCAGCCGCCGCAGCCGGGATCCGATCCCACGACCTGCGGGTCAGCAGCCGAGTACCTTAGCCACTAGACCATCGCGGCTGGGTACATCGCTTTTTAAGACCACTCTAAATAACACTGAGCCAAATGGAGACCTTACCACTTATAAGGCCTATATTCACACCTGCTAGTGGTCGGTTCTCCCCTCCACACAGTACACATGTCTTCTCGCATACGAACCACATGTTTATTGCCCCGCAAAATAAGCACACTTCCTGTTTCTGCACATGGGATTGGTTCACAGGTTCGCTACTTGCAGGCGCTTGGGGGAAAAATGGCTGTGGCTTAACTCAGATATGCGTGGCTCTGCATAGCGAGAGGTTCGGTCAATTTTACTGTTTAGCTTGGCTGTCAGTATGGATACACCTTTCGAAGCACGCGGGTCATTGTTCCTTCGTTTCCTCAGCTCGCAGCCTTTTCTTGGTTTCGCTCCGACGACAAAGCCTAGCTTCTTTGTTTCCGACTCACTTCTAATATCCGCCGCTGAATACCACCGAGCCACCCTTCATATATGTACGAAGCAACGCCAGCTCCTCCTCTGTTTTTGCAACGTGGTGTCACCGGCTGCTTCTCGGACGTCGTGCCAGATGGCGCAGTCAACGGCGCTGCCATACGCTTTGGTTGCTAAGCAATGGCTCAACTCGTGGTGTGGCCACTGGCCACAATGGAAAGGCGATAATACAGATAATACAGCCAATGTAGCTGTCACTTCAAAATCTAGCCACGAGCGACTGATCAAGAACGGTCTTTTTTGCTACCTTGCCTTTTGCAACCCGGTCGCTTTGCGACTTACTGGGTCGCGTGAGCGGTGCTTGTCGCAGGTGTGAATGAGCCTTTAGAGCCTTTAGAGCGTTTCTGTGTTCTTTGTTTTTTAATCTGTTCATGATTACACCCTTATTTGTGTTAACGCTATGATACTGGCCAATTGTATGGTTAGTGTAATTGCATATGGCCTAACGTTTGGATAAAGGTACAATTTCTTTGTATGCGGGTCACACCTAATGTACAGTGCTTTTACGGATTACAAAAACTGTACTTATACGAGTTTTTAGTGGGATAATCGGGGTGAGCAGTGTAAGTGCCCCAGACAGGCTGGCCGACGTTTCGATAGAAGGACCCATCTTTGTCAGAGGCACCTTGTCATCCTTGGCGTGTTAGTTTTAAGCGGGTTAGTAGTGACGTCATCTTCTTGTGGAGGCGCGTGTCCCTGTTAGCAATCGCCGTCTAAAAGTAAAAAAAAAGAGTGCACTCCTCTGCTTTATAGTTTTTTTTCTTTTCAGACGGAGATTTCCAACAGGGACACGCGCCACCACCAGGAAATGACGTCACTACTAACCCGCTTTAAACTAACACGCCAAGGATGACAAGGCGCCTTTGACAAAGATAGGTCCTCCTATCGAAACCTCGGCCAGCCTGTCTGAGGCACTTCCACTGTTCACCCTGATTATCCCACTACGTGTTTCCATCTGTCTGCTCCCATCTAGCTTCTCAATATGAGTTTGTAGGAATTCGTTCTTCAACTAGGTGCGAAAGTCCATAATAATTGTAATGAAGAATTGCACCCTAGAGAGGTCCGCAGCCGTATCGTCAGCGCTACATAGGAGTGGCTCGTGCTGGACGTTGTTGCTGTTTGCGCTAGCTAGGACTACGACCGTATCCTGTCTGTTTTTACAGGGTCTGCTACCGAGAACGTGCCTCAGCTCTTTCTTATAATGATAAAGGAAACAGACATTAGAAACACATTTACAGCGTTCATCCTGCCTGGTCTTCTTTCTTGTGCCCTCGTTTTTTTTCGCACTGTTAATTTATATATGAACTTTTACTGCTGATGAGCTTTGATGCAGTGCGAGACGAAAACACGGAGACGAAAAAGCCCATCGCAGAGCTCGTGTCCACGTTTCCCCTCGCGCTGCATCACAGCTGTCAAAATTGCTCACCAACAAGCGCACATTGCAACCCTAGTGTTACTCTATATGCTACGTAAAGGTAGACTATACAGTAACTCTATGCAACCCTTTTTCACGCTGCTAAGCCTGCTCTATCACCTACCACAAAGGGCGCAATTCGAAGCGGGCTATATTCAAAATTGACAGACTTGCTTAACTTGAGGATCAGTGCAAATAATCGGAGTAGCTTCAAACTGACCTGTATTTCATATCTATGGCGCTGCTTCGTGGACACAGCGTAGTTACGACATGGAAGACAGTGGAGGGTGGGTGAATTCTGATTTGCTTATAGGAGACCAAGCCCTGACTTTGAGAAAGCTCTAGGCAGACAGCTATCTGTGCAGCGCACCGCTCCGCGCGATGTACTCCTGCGGAATTCAGTAGGAACTGCGCGTGCTGCCCTTAGACTGCTAACATCCTGTACGACACAGCATGGTTACGTTGAATCAACCCAAATATACCGCCCATACACGAACAGAGCGTGCAACGGAACCCGGGGAAAACCGGGCGTTGCTGACGTCCCTAAACGTCCAGGACCAACTCCGGCTAGCTGGACAGGGCTCGGGTGTCGGCTGTGAACCATGGCTACTATACCGCCCATACACGAACAGAGCGTGCAACAGAACCCGGGGAAGACCAAGCGTTGCTGACGTCCCTAAACGTCCAGGACCAACTCCGGCTAGCTGGACAGGGCTCGCGCGTCGGCTGTGAACCATGGCTACGTAGAGCAAGGAAGTAACCCACCTCTGAGCGACGAAAATGCGCGCCCAGTTGCAAATTGAAAGTTTTATTCCGCCTCTATGTGGGCCCTTTAGCTGCGCGGGACGCGAGTGGGTCTACTTCCCGGTTCCCACGAAACTGAGTAGACCATCGCTCGGCGTACTCACAATTCTCTGGGACTTGACGTACTGGTAGGCCACCGCGTACTCCAGCAGAGAGGTGAACACGCTGACGAGGCACGCGAAGAGCCAGATGTCCACGGCCTTCACGTAGTCCACCGGTGGAAGGGCAGTGCGTGACTGTACGACCTGGACGCGAATCCACGGCAACAAATGAAACGCCGATTGTTGAAGAGCGCTTCATTTTTTAGTAGTGATAAATGAATTTCTAGGTAAGAAAATAGCGGCTGCAAAACTCGAGTAAACAGCGCGGCTGGCAAACCAGTGTCACCATCTTGCTTGCTTGCTTGACCCTGTCTTGTGGCTCTTACACACTAAGGGGGATTGGCCAAGAAGCCGGCGGTTAATGTAAGTCAAGAACTTTCAATTACACACGCTAGGGAAATACGATTACTTTGTTTTCACAAGACGGGGTTGTTTTGGCACCATGTGAAAAAAAGTGAAAGAAAAGAAATAATAGGATTTTTTAATCACTGAGGCGTAATCATTACGTGGGATTCTTCTGAGGGTTAAGTCATCACAGTGTAATATTGAAATACTAAATGTAAGATTGGTTAGTAAAAATCGAGAGCTGATTAATGGCTCAGCAAGGTAGTCTCCTGGTGAACCCGGATCATTCTTCTTCATTCTTTTTTATTTTTCTTACTTTATATATTTCTGTATTGCCCTCACTCCTCTTCCCCCCCTCTAACCTCCAAAGTGCTCTTCACTCTCACTTGTATTTTGTTATCCTATACTATTCATGGTCATGTTACAGTTTACCTCCTCACCTCTTCTATTTCTTCCTTAACCTAAGTTCGCACTCTTAATTCTAATTACCATCCCCTCGTTAAACTATACTACACAAGGCTATGACACGCTTTAACTTCTCCTCTTCTTCATTCTGTCCACACGAGTATTCGCCCTTACTTCCCACTCCGATCACATCGCTGTACTATAATATGCATAGCAATGCTACGCTAAAAGTTGCTTGGCACGGACTTCTTTCTCTTTTTTTTTCGGTGCATACTCGTGCAGCTCGCTGTTTACGACACCGGCCTTACTCCTAGGTTCAACAGCTCCGCTGCTAAAAGGAAATGAAGACTTGACAACATCGCGTTGTAGAAACTGACCAAAATGGATAATTTTCATAAAAAGAAAGCTTTGCAGCGTTTGAGTTAGCGATCAGTAAGACTTCATTTTTGTTCTGCAGGTGCCACAGTGATCTTATAAATATCGCAGGAAGCTGAAATGAGTTTAAGATGAACGAGAAGAGCCAGAAGGACATGGGACTTCACTGTCTCATTTTTCGCCTCTTGAAAATGAAACAAGAAAGCTCTTACGAGCAATCAGAGGTACTTTACCCCTTAGCTTATCCTTATTCGACTGAATTCCAGGAATCTTGTCATATGGTTCTCCACAACAATGTTTTGCTCAGTCTTATGTTGAGCAGCTTAGTGTGTTTAAAGGTCGCCGTGGGTACGGTACTTCGGAATTTTGTTCGTCGTCAAATTCGGCAACATTATTTCGATTCTGCGATGGTCTTAATACGAGTCAAAGAAAAAATTCGATACGTTCGGTATAGCAGGCGAATGGGCAGTGACCACCCCCTAATTTTTCAACGTGTAAGCACGAGCGTCGACTACCGTGTCGATAAGCGCCGTACAGCAGCGGCGAAATGAACAAGAGTACGGGCATGAACGCAATGAGCAGTTCTGTGCAGCTGTCGTATGTTCGGTTGTTTCAGGAAATGGACAACACCCTTACTTCTGTGAGTGCCGTTATCGCCATCTTTTTATTTATTTTTTTCTGAATGCGTTGCGTGCATTTAATTTCTGTGCGATAAGTTTAATACTGATACTACGCTGTACCGCGAGTTACCTTCAAGTCGATGTGCTTGGTAAGTTAAATAATAATATCTGGTGACAGTGTGATTGGGCGTGTTGGTATAACATCATAAAGGTTGCTTACCAGCGCAAACGACAGGGCAGGGTTCATATTGGGCTCATATTGTCACGATATTGTCACTTATTGACAGGGTTCATATTGTCACGTGTGAACCACGTGACAATATGAACGTGCCTCAGATGCTTGAGAACGGCGCAGGGAATGCGTACTGACGTCACTGGTGCGTTAGGCGCAAAGTCGCATTAAACGCATTAAACCTAACTTGAGGGCTCACGCGATCAGAGGACCAGAACTGACGCACGGCCTCCGAGATTCCGGGGCTTCCTAAAGCGGATCTGTGGAGAGTGCATTCGTCGTGTCGAAGCGCATCCCGTCACTGTCGTTGGTGCCGAGAGTTGTAAACGCTGCGTGACGTCAAATTGATGTCGTAGAAAAAGTACCGTGGAAACGGGGCGCGCTGTTCGCCGAGCTCCAGCCAATCCGCTGTGGTCGAAATGGACAGTCCATTAGATCGACACATTGTTGAATAACTCTCCTGCCAGGTTTGAACACTTGAGAGGTTGTACACACACACACCTGCGTGGTGAGGGTCAGTATGGCGGTCACTCCCAGCGTGATCCGCCCCTGGACCGCGTGCACGTCCAACCAAAAGGACAGCCAAGACAGCACCACCACCAGGCCGCTCGGTATGTAGGTGTTCACGATGGACGCTGTCAGACGACGCTCGAAGGTGAAATTGGCCAGCAGGTGAGTGTAGTTCTCTGTACGGGAAGAAAAGTTTCAGCTCTGAGCACGAGATAACTGTGTCAGTACAACTAAGAGAAGCCACATATATAAGGGATGGTCAAGAGGGACGTTTATAGGAGACGCCGTACGTAAAAACACTCCCAAGCATTTCCCCGAGGGTGAACAAGTGCGAATGCACGGGGTGATGCTATGAGGGGGAGTAAAGTTAAAATCCGTTGGTATTCGCCAGTGTCTTAACGTAAACTTCCCCGTGTGATCACATTGCGATTCCCAGGAACCATTAGACCCTCTCGGGAAATCTTGGCGAGTTTACGCGTATATGTGAGAGTAAATTCGCACTATAATGATGTTTATGTCCGCGGCCCGCTTCGCCCGCTTGCGCTCGGCATCACGGGCCCTTCGCCGCGCTGCCTTGTCTTCAACCGGCGCGACATCTTCAACGACGCGTGCAATGCTCGCATTCGATTGCGGTGTACTCGTTGTTGGAGGTATCGCAGGCGAGGTTGACGCCTGCGATGGATCCATACCTATGACGACTTGCCGATCTCGAGCAAGTCGTGGGGCGCGCGCAATCACGTGGTGTGTGACGTCGCTGCGCCGTTGCTACAGACGCTCCTTTCCGCTCCTCGCGCCGTTGCTAGGGGAGAGGAGGAGGCGCACCGCGGATGGGGTGGCTAGAATGGGCCTACCGCGGACGGCGGATTTAGGGTCGCTTATAAAGTGCATTCGCACTTGAAAGGAGGCTGTACTATCTGTATAAGTATACTGCGTGTACTGTTACCGATAGGGGCGAGCTCTCTGGCTGAGCATCTACGACGCTCTCGGCTGCTCATCCGAAGGACGCTTGTTCGACCCCGGCCGTGCTTGTTGCATTTTGCTGGAGGCTTAATGGGCCTGTGTATTTAAGTTTAAGGGCAAGTGAAGAACCTCAAGAGCTGGAAATTTCCGGTCTTTCACTACGGCGTGCGTGATAACCATATTGCTGTTTTGTCTCGTGAAACACCCGGATATGTTTCTTTATTACTGTTCGTCCAGTATTGCATCACGTCCGCATTATTTTTATTCGTCCGGTCTTCCGCCCCGCCGCGGTGGTCTAGTGGCTAAGGTACTCGGTTGCTGATCCGCAGGTTGCGGGATCGAGTCCCGGCTGCGGCAGCTGCATTTCCGATGGCGGCGCAAATGATGTAGGCCCGTGTGCTCAGATTTGGGTGCACGTTAAAGAAGCCCAGGTGGTCGAAATTTCCGGAGCCCTCCACTACGACGTCTCTCATAATCAAATGGTGGTTTTGGGACGTTAAACCCCACATATCAATCAATCAATCGTTCGGTCTTCCGTCATGTGCGCTCGTTTATTGAACAAGTGTGACGTACTAGATTACGTAACATATCCGTATTGACTTTTGATCTACTATCGCGCTCAGTACGAACTACATACACCGCAGGAGTACGAGATCTAGCAGACTGTGAAGGTGAGTAGCGCCGATCGCGAAACGTTTTCCAGTCATCAGGGGAGCGTTTGGCCGTTCCTGCGAGGGAGCATCGCTTCAACATGCTGTAAAGGGCCCCCTAAACCACCCCCCAAAAATATGAGCGCGTCAGTCTCTGTAGGCTTTGCCATTCTTTACGGCACGATTCGCTACGTCAGCTGTGTGTCCACGTGACGTCGGGGTCAAACGAACTCTGAATCGGCCGAATCACGAGACGTGTATATCTGTTGCGAATTTTCGCCGGTCCTGCTTTGCGGTGTCACGCTTGCTCGGTCGGTCTCTTCTTGCACGACTATCGTGCTTGATAAACTTATTTTTCACTTCGTTTTCTGCGTGTGTGACTCCGCAAGCGAAAATAGCCGCGTGTACTCGAGAAGCGTGATATCAACGCTGCATCAATGGTTGCGCCAGGCAATGCGACTATTTTCCGAAGAACTAAGTAGAGGAAAATAGCACTTGTAGGAAGTGTTGTGAAGGCAAGCGAGGAACTACTGTCGCGCCTTTAAGGTCGACGTGGTTTAAGGGCCCCTTATAACGCTAGGCCTCGGTTTGTCCTGTCGTGACAGCTGTTTAGAAAATGATAACTGCCACCAAGACCCGACGCCCAAATTTCGAATTTTCCTGCAGTAAAGCTAAAGAAATGGCCAAGGGTCCCTTCAGATAAAGGAGGACGAGAGAAGTAAGCAGCTGGGATCGGTGCATGCTCGTAGGAACAGCAAAATGCTATCACCGTAACTTAAAAGAAAATTATGCCAAGATCGGCGTCACAGTACAACCTCGCAGTTCGTTGGGCCATGCGCTCATGTAGAATATATATAGCTCACACAAAACGCGAGAGGACCTCAATGCATGGCCGATATTCTTTGCCGATTGATTGATTGATTTATGGGGTTTAACGTCCCAAAACCACCATATTATTATGAGAGACGCAGTATAGTGGCGGGCTCCAGACATTTAGACCACCTGGGGTTCGTTAACATGCATCCAAATCTGAGCACACTGGCCTCCATCGGAAATGCAGCCGCCGCAGCCGGGATTCGATCCCGCGACCTGCGGGTCAGCAGCCGAGTACCTTAGCCACTAGACCACCGCGGCGGGGTGATATTCTTCGCCGAGTAATCTGGCGCAACTGTAATGTAATAATGTTGTGACGTACACAATTATGCTACGAAGCAGCGAAGTTACACTGGCATAAGCTTCATGCTTTCAGGTAGTATGCAAACAGTTCTTGGGCAGCTGCCAGCTCATAATCAGATCACGCGTTACACTACGCCAACAGGCAGAAAAAGAGCGTTCCACACTCATAGTCATGACGGCTAGCAGTGCTGACATCTCTCGGGGTTAAATTCACATAGATACCCTATAGGGTGGACAGCGGGATGACTGCGGCTGTAGCGGATTGGACGCTATTTTCGAAGGTCGCATGTTCGGTCCCTGCAAGGGCGGGGGGGGGGGGGCAAGTTTTTATTTCGTCCACTTTTCTTTCTTCACATTTACGTTACAATTACTACGTGTAACACCCCCGATACATTCCTTCATTGTCCGTTAGTTCTCATTAAGCACTGATCAATCATGCAGCACACAAAGCACCTCTGATACGGATAATCACAATATATAGGCTACACCGGTTGCCCCAGCGACGACACTCTCGAAGCAACAGTCGCCACACTCGAATCCTTGCCATGCGTTCAGTCTACTGCAAGTAATGTAAGTGATGCGAGGCACCGGAAGTGCGTCATGGTCACCGTGGTTTACAGCCAGCATATTGCGGAGTGTACCCGGACTACTCACCTCCAAGGAAGTTCTCGCTGTACCGATGTACTTTGGGCCGCTTGATGCGGAACTGAAGCGGTTCGATTCGGTCGACGAACTCTATGGCAAGGCTCTCGCCTTTGTCATCCACGCTAGCCTCCCAACAGAGCTCCGTGATGGAGTTGGGCGTGGCCACTGAAAGAATGCGTCACAGGTAAAGTAGAGAAGCAGTCAAATTTGAAGTTGAGAAGGAAGTTAAGAACCGAAAAAACTGAGCCGTAGAAGACTGCAACAACAATTTCCAAAATTGCCATGAGAAAGCTCCGCAGTCTTTAAAAGGCCGCAACATTACATTTTAAACACGCCAGCGAAGTATCACTCCACTGAAGGCAACCAGTATTCACTGAAGTGTTCGACGTCACACGTACCATTGTTTTTTTACTATAATGTCGTGAACGTTAACCTTCGAACACAGTGGTGCCTTCGTGTAGACAATGTCTGCTGAGTTTCATGTAGCAAACCTCATCACTTCTCGACTAATATAGACGGGAAGTAACCAGAATTTACTACGTGAGACTCAGAGAGCACGCGTCGTATAGCCGATCTCGTCGCTTCTCGCCGATATTGAGAACTACCGTTTGCTGTAGTCGGAGCTTGCGCGATATGATTTAGAAAAGAGAAAAACCGCGCAGCTGCGGACTAGTGGCGCCAACACCGAGAAAACAGTGAAGCTGGTACCATCTTCTTCTTGTTCACTCTCGCTTTTATTTCCGACCTCCTTGATGTACAACAATGCACATTAATGTGCAATACTACATTGTAAGAATACTTTATCCTTACCGCTCCTACTATCCATCCTCCTCACCCTCACTTCCAATTGAAACCCCCTTGCTATAGTATACTGCAGAATACTTTACTCTTTCCTTGCCCTTTTCCCTCGTTTTCACCTTCGCTTTCCTTGCCCACCCGTTCTTTACTATACTCTACCAGACTTTAACGCGTTCCTATGTGACGGGAGATGCCATGAATGAGGTAGAGGCAGCTCACGATAATGATATCTCTGTTGGCGCGTAATCAAGAACTTTTGCTGATCTCAAAGAGCTTCGCTGTTAAAAACTGCGAGGGTAGTATGCCCATAGTGTGGCAAAACTTGCGGAGTGGACTTAGGCTCCCTCGTTAAATATATTTTGCTCTTATAACTCACTGAGAGTGAGTGAGTGAGTGAAACAACTTTATTCGGTCCACAATAGACGCGAGTAAACTCAGCGTCACCTGGCTAGGCCCACTCGGGGACCATCAGGTTAAACCTGACGGCCCTCGCGCGGGCCCTCTGGACGGCCAGGATTTGAGAGGTCTGGTCCTGGGCCTTAATGAGTCGCTTCATTTCCTCTTAGGTGAAAGGGGGACCGGCAGAGGCGCACTGAGACTCACCGAAATTTTTCTTAGCTTGTCTTGATCACTCGGATTCACACTCACGAAACGTTTTTTTTTTTTTCAACCGAACTCGTTCGGACTTCAACTCACCAAAACATTACTAATTCAGAATTCAGACTCACGGCTTGATCTGGGTCCGAGCAGGCCTGAGTGAGTGGACCTATGAGTCTGTTTGCCTGGAATTATCTTTTTTGACCACGGTGTCAATGTTCTGTACCACCAAGATCTCCCGTGATGGGGGCTCTTGGCACATTTTCATACAGTACCTTCGAATGCGATTTAGGATTCCTCGTAAGCCAGTATAATAAGGTCATTTTTATTCAGAGAGATGATAGCGTGAGATATATTTATCTAGTAGGCCTTTGGAAGAATTAGCAGGATGGTGGGGGGGAGTCAAGACCCTTCTTTTTGTCATTTGCGCCTCAATAAATATTGAAATCGATTATGTACGAAAGACACTGCTTTGGACTACGTGTCAGTGAATGTGAGTGTGAACGTCAATAGAGGTGAGGCTGAGAGTAATGCTGAAGTTGAGGACAAGACGACCATACGTCGGAAAAAGAGGTTGAAGTCTCTTGTACTGACTCAAGAAATACATCTTGCGCTTGGGCTGACTCGAACTCAGACTCACCAAACTACAAACTATTCCTGAGCCGAACTCACTCGTAATCACACTCACGAAAGCTTTCTTCAACTAGACTGACTCATGCTTCAACTCATCGAAATGTTAATCACCTGGAATCACTCAGACGCATGGATCGATTTGAGTCTGAGCGAGTTCGATTGAGTCGACTTGTGAGTGAGTTCGCCGACCTATGGGTATATATACCTCGCACACAAGTGTTACGCTGTATTTCCTCCCTCTTTGCCACTGCCGCTACTGTCATAGTGCAATATCTGGTGCATGTCGCTCCTCAGGACCATTGCTCAATGCAATGATTTATCCACTAGCCGAAGCACGTGCAATCTGAAGAATGCAGTGCCCATGAGTTTGCACTTTAAATCTAGACACCATGTGTCTGGATACTAATAAAGTATGCATCATCATCATCGTCATCATACATATATCTTGCAATTTGTTTTTCAAAGCGGCAATAAACGCATCGAACGTTGTTAGGCATGGCGCTCACGTAGGGAAACCTTGAAGTGGCAGTGCTGTATGTCCATCGGGTACTTGTGAAACGTCATTAGGCATCGAACTTGAAACAGGTACCTGCACAGAGTTAGGACAGAGACTGAAGCTATTAGTTGCCCTTGAAGGTGTAAATAAAGAAAAAGATAAAACAGGCAAGTACGTAATGCCAAAGTTGAACGAATAAGGTTCAGCCACGCAGTGAAACTTGACTGTTATAGGGTGGCAAGAGCGCCTACTGCTACTCATAGCAGAACGATAGAATGATGCTAGTATAATAACTTTTCGCAATCGGCGTTCTAATTAAACAAGATGACCCACTGACTACGTGACTAGCTCTACTTATTGCGGCAGCAGTTATTTGAAAGATTGACTAAGTGGACCGGGAAATCCTCAAATAGTGGCTTGCTTCTCTAGAAAAACAACGTTTTCTATATTATATCGAGGCACGCCGTTCCTCTGGGGTAAGCAAAAAAAAATATTCATTTGAAGTTTAGAAAAAATCTAGTCTGAAGTAGTGTCTCATTAACTAATATGAGTTTGGCGTTATAAATGGATTCCACCGTAAGTTGATGTGAAATGCTTTGGGTTATGGAGTGGGCTAAAGTGTGGCGTACATAGGAGAAAGTTGAGTGAAGTGAACCAAGTTGTGAAGCAGCGTGGAAGATTTTTTTTTTAGCGTCTGTTAAGACCACCCTGAAGACATGCTTCTACTTCATAGGTCTTCTTAGTAACAAGATTGTATAATACACTTGTGTTGTGCTAATAAAAAAAGAACTTGTGAAACAATGCAGTGCAACGTCGTTAGAACAAAGCAGCATGGAGACCGTAAGTTAGTACAACATAACTGATATTTGTTGTAAAAGTAGAGGGAAATCGGCACTGTCAAATCAGCTACCCCAGTCGCACGAAAATTCCTAGATACAAAGATATTGCAGGTAGTTTGCCGTAAGTCATGCACGCAAAGCATGGCAAGGCGGAGCTTGTCGAAGCTCAAGTTTTCTGTCTTACGCTGGTTACTTCTCTGCTCTTCTTAGTTTTCTCTCTCTTATGGTGATTCTCTTTCAGTTTTTCTTCCTTTTGTTTCTGTCAATCGTTCCATTTCTCTGACTTATTAAGCTATTCTCTTTTTCTCTAATCATATGTCTTTATTTCTCTTCTTCTCTTTCGGTCTTCTTTCCTTTTCTTTCTCTGCGTTACCCTTCTTTCTCCGTCGCCCTCACTCCCTTTTGGTGCCATCTCGCTATACTATACTATAATATACTATACCAAGCTATGATCTGCTCTGCTAGCGTGCCTCGGTAGTGAAGTAGTTACGACTTTTTATTCCCCTAGTGAGTACGGCAGTATTCAATTTTAGATCACCAGGGGTCAGTAGTAGTAGTTATTTGGCACATACTCATTCACTATAATTTTTCGTAGTCATCCGTTTTACCTCGAGCATCGGCAGCTTTGCTGTTAAAACAACTTACTCTACACTTCTAAGTCACCATAAACAAGGCAATTCTTTACCTATCTTTTTGTAGCATTTCATACTAGAGAGAGATGGAACACTCAGAAGGTGAAAACACAACACGACAATGCCTCTTTAACCGTCGTGGTTTCGCTAAACAGGCTTGCGTTCATATCTATGTGAGTAGGGATGTGTTTACATTTTAACCAGATTTTAAATGTCACAACAACATATAAAAGAAATGTGATTGCAAAGTGTCTGTAGGTACGTTTGATGATCGCCCCGCCACGGTGGTCTAGTAGCTAAGGTACTCGGCTGCTGACCCGCAGGTCGCGGTATCATATCCCGGCTGCGGCGACTGCATTTCTGATGGAGGCGGAAATGTTGTAGGCCCGTGGGGTCAGATTTGGGTACACGTTAAAGAACCCCAGGTAGTCGAAATTTCCGGAGCCCCCCCACTACGGCGTCTCTCATAATCATATATGGTGGTTTTGGGACGTTAAACCCCACATATCAATCAATCAAGGTACGTTTGATATGATGTGCTACCTTGCAAGGGTAGAGTATCGCGCGAATCAAGTATTTCTTTGTTACAGCCGATATTGCGGTGGCACTCGCGTTTTCGGTTCTGTTATATAAGATGAACACGGCCTGATCCACATCACGAACGCTGTCGAGACAGTGACGCTGGGGCCCGCTTTCGTCGGGTTCACCCTCACCAATTTTCGCGTACCTCTCATTAGTTCAATCTTTCCGCCGAACCTCAACACAACGCCTCTTGCGACCTCTTTCGTTGATTTTTTTAACCCTTTTCGCCGGGCTTCACCCCATTTTGTGCCCCTCTAACTCATTCAAATTCCACCGAGTCTCGCCTAAGCCCGTCATGGCGCGCCGCAAGTAGCCCCTTCCCCTTCTTACAGCGTCACACAAGAGCCACAGCTCAAGGCTAACAGACCAGCGCCATCAACCGATGGTGAAGCTTCGACTAAGAACATGTTCGCTATTAAAGGGACCCTATAAAGGGAAACACTGACTTCGTTTAGATTGATAAACTGCTCTCGGAAAACTCTAAAAGTCATAACTTTCACTATCGTAAGTTGATCATTAGCGGGGGAAAAAAATCAAAGTTGAAGTCTAATTTTTAAATCTCGCCCCGAAATCTCCGCACGTGATGTTACGGATTTCAAACTCGTCGCATTTTCGCGACACTGGCTCGATGAAACTTTCTGAAACTTCGTATGCTAGGTGTATGGCACGCTCGGACTATAATGTACTTCTTTTTTTTTTACCGATTATAAGCTGAGTAGGACACAGTAGACGCTTTCGAAATCTACGTCCCTGCATTGTGTTGGGTGCCGACTTCTCAGTGTGGGGTCTCCACTCGCATTTACTTTTCGCACATTTTCTCTCTTACCAAGCATCTTTTCGCGGCAAGAGTGATGTTTTGGGGATTCTGAAATGATGCTTTATATGATGCTAATAATTATACTATCAATATTTTCTCATTCTTATTCCTGTTACGACTCGTATAATAATTGACATTTAGTTCATGTTATTGTTTGTATGCAAAGTGTACCAATTCATGTATGTATTCCCTTTATGCTCCCCTTACACAATACCCTGTTGGGTCTGTAAGGTATTTTGAATAAATAAATAAATAAATAAATAAATAAATACGCAAAAAATCGTTTTTTCTAACTACTGTCGCTTTGCCAAGAAATATACTTAAAACGCAGCCAATCACAGTTCGTATTTAGTACGCTATAACCGATAATTTGCTGTATAAGTATAAGTGTTTCATGTAACGAGGATCTACTGCAGTTCAATGCTCATGCAACCGCTTCGCATAGAAACAGAACAGATAGCTTGGAACTTGAATGTGAAGCGAAAGCGTATGGGGGGTTTGCCTTGTGAGTCTGTGCACGGATCCGTCCCTCGCGATCTTGTAGGCGACGCTGTCCACCGATTGGCGGAATATGCTGCTCCTCTTGGTGTTGGAGAACACCACGTCCGGCGTCCACATGAGACGAGCGACGCGACGGGGTACCGACATGCGGCGCCACCTGTAGGCGAACGGGCTGGTGCGGAGCCGGCCATCGCGCCAGCTCTCTTCGATGTACGTGTGCAGGCGGAAGTCCTGCAGAGTTGTAGGGTAGAAAAAAGGCTGACAGGAACACTGAAGTGAAAAAAAAAATTAGCACGAAAAGAATTCGCTGGCTTTACGTATACGTCCACTACCTCCCACTTCTAAAATCTGCGCAGATCGATTTGTTTCTATGCAGAGTTCCGTAAAAATTAAGGCTGCTAAACCTTAATGGAGTGGAGGAAGGATGGAGAAAGGACAGGGAGGTTAGCCATTAATAAAGAAGAAGCACTCCCGACTGCTTACCAGCACATGTGAAGAAAGCATTTGACTCTTCTTTATCTGAGAAGCGTTGTTCATTTCTCCGGTCCGGTCACAAAGCCACCGTTCTTGTTCAGTGAAAGGAGTCACACTATCTCCAGTGCCTGATCAGAAGACACAACTTGCTCAGAGCCGGCGCTGCTATGAACATCTCAGCCAAATCTTGGAATTCGGCACGGCAAGAGTTAGGAGCACAGCATGAAGTCCATTGATTGATATGTGGGGTTTAACGTCCCAAAACCACCTTATGATTATGAGAGACGTTGTAGTGGAGGGCTCCGAAAATTTCGACAACCTGGAGTTCTTTAACGTGCACCCAAATCTGAGCACACGGGCCTACATTTCAGCCTCCATCGGAAATGCAGCCGCCGCAGCCGGGATTCGATCCCGCGACTTGCGGGTTAGCAACCTTAGCCACTAGACCACCGCAGCGGGGCCACAACATGAAGTTGCCTTTTTTTTTTCAGGAGTCCTTTTTGCTTAATGCGGCCTGTGCTCGCTGTCTTCGGAGCTGTCAGCGTCTGCTGTTAGACGTCGAACAGCAGACAGCATGCGATTGGCCAATAACCAGCGTTAATCAAGAGCGGCGTTTAGATCAGACGCACTTCTTGTCACGAGGTGGCTCCACCTGCCGGCATAGTGCTCCGTAGTCTGCTCACATTGCTCAATGAGCAACACTTGCACACAACAATCACAACGGCAGGAGGCGTTCGCGTCTCATCACGCGCGCTAATGTCTGTGAAGCAGGCTGACGTAGCTTCTTTCCACCGTTACTACCCCTCTATGCTTAGCTGCCATCACGCTTGTCGCTACGTTCCCAGTGATGGTGGTCTGGGCGTGTTGGTTTGGCATGATCAATACGCTCACAAACATACGAAGGCCAAAAAAGACGCATGACACGCAGTGACTGTGTGTCATGCGTTATTTAAATGCGAATGCATTTCTTAGTCGGGCTATGTCAGGCGTCCGTCGGGATCTCTCCACCACCCTCTCCCCATATCAATAGCTGCGTGTGTGCGCGCTTATTTTAACCGTGCACGCTCGCTACTATAGCTGGAAACGCATATCGCGTTTCCAGCTACAGCGGCGCTATTATATAACGCTAGCGCCTTATAAGCAATAGCGCCGTTATAAGCTATAACGGCGCTATTAGCTGCACGGTGTAAGAAAAAAAAAACATTATTCTTCTATACTGAGACGCCTGCAAAGCAGCACATACACACATGGGGCCCTAATGCACCGTCTCTACCCAACGAGATATAGCTCTATGTGCCCGCTTTGCAACGTACCGGACACCCTGGCGCACTTGCTTCTTGCATGCCAGTGTATTGCCAGACGTAATCTGCAGCAACACACGACTGATAATGAAGAAAGACGGACGAACGAAGACCAAACCGAAACGTGGGAGGTGAAGCTCGCCCTCGAGGACCTGGAAGAGCAACAACAACTCGTCGCCAGGGCCAAGAGGGCAGTAGAAGACAGAGGGTTCCTGGACTAAGGAGCCCTCCCACCTCAGGGTGACACCGGGCATTGCTCGGAACACTGTTTCGAAATAAACGTTTACTTCGCTCTCTCTCTTCTAAAGTTGGGTTTTTTCGCGCGAAACGCCGTTATGGACGCTTCAATATGCATTCGCTTTTCCTCATGATTCTCTTCGGGGAAGGGGGGGGGCAATTTTTGGGGTGTCCTCGTGCGTTTGTGTGCTTTGAATTTATTGATTTGGTCGGTAGGAGAGAAGAGAGTGCTTTAATCATGCGACAAAGCCCTGTAACTTTTCTCGTTCTTAAGGGAATCGAGAAACCTTAGTGGCAGACGATTTGTGAGGCAATAAACTCTGATACTAAAGCCGGTTTATGACTACGTGGAAAAGCGGGTGGTGACCTTCAACACACATGCGAAGTTAAATATAAATGAGGAATCCATGTTCGCAACTAAAGTGATGTATTAAGATGTGTTTCGGTGAGGTTACCTCTAATAAAACTTGCGAAGTAGTTTGAGGCTTCTTCCTGAGATGTGTAACACAAGAAGCAAATTGAGCGGTATACCTATCGCGAAAAATGAACCGTACCAGAAATCCCCGAGATGGAGGCTTGGGCAACTCAGCTCGATATCTCTTTGTCCGCGCCGCGTCGTCTACTCAGTGCCTCCGTGGCGTCTGTGCGCACACGCTAGGCGAGTAACACCGAGAAGACGGTGGCGTAGGGACAAAATACAACGTGGCGCCATCCGTCCAAGCGGGTTCCTTCCACCTTGAATTTGGGTAGTCGTCGTCAGGGCGTCATGTGATCCGCAAGATTAAAAAGTAACACTGTTACTTTGTTTAAGTTTGCGTCACGAAGCCTCGAGACTGTTGTATTTGTCACTTTTTCGTACTCTATCTAAGATCTACTCTCAGACCTTTGAACACTAGGTCTAGCAGGAGAAGCTGAAACAGCTGACCTTAGTTATAAGGTCAAAACATACCCGATGCCTTGTCACCAACGTGAGATGACCTAAAGCGATCGCCGATTTTATGATTCATTGATCGCCTTCAATACAGTGAGCAAGCAGGATTGAGGCAAGCGATTGTGTCAGCATGTCCGCTGCCATGTCGATTTGTTAACGACAGTTACTGGAGGTCGCTGATGCCACAAACGGAGGCACACAACACATATGCGACGTAGATTTGAAAGGGAAGCGCTTTAATGGAAAGCTATAGATGCTAGCCTGGCTGTTCGCCTGACAGGCTACTCCATGCGCTGTCGCTGTGGCGTAGATCATGTCGAGCGCAAATGTCTCAATCTCGTCAACATTGAAGCGATTGCATATCGAACTATGTTTTACTGCGCAAACTCGTGACTTGTCAACACCTTGCTGAAACAGCGACCACCTTTTGTATAGTGTGACCATGGTCCACTTCACTGACGCAATACCAGTATCAATTGATGAACTGTTTCTCTGCATGTTGATCTTTTTGGACAAATACTGGGATGAATAACGTTATCTTGCAGCGAAATACGGCAAGGTAAGAGCACTTTCTCTGTATTTTTTGGAATATTCATGAATCGATGCGTGTAAAAAGCTAATTTTGGGTTGAGAAGTGTCGCAGGTTTTACGTGGCAATAGCCCCTCGCGTTGAAAGGAGTAGTTAGCAGATTCTATTCGTCTTCGATTGTATCCCATGGTATGCAAAATGTCCAAGTATTCTTTTAGCGGGACGGCTCAGTGCTCTCCCATAGTTGAGTACGAAGTACTCGAAATCGTTAAACATTTTTTCTAAGCGCAAAATGTACATATTCATGTTTATTTGTGTCTCTTGTTTACCTTGAAATATTTTTTGCGGTTGTGCTTGTGTGAACCATCGAATGTACATGTTCTTTCAACGTCATCTCATATCCATGTTCATGTAAATGACGTCTGTTTTGCCATCATCGTTATTGTATGTCTAAAAAGAAAATGTTCTGTTGAATGTTAGTTACGTTTGTGACAATATTTTTTTTAACATATGGCTCACTTCTCTCCCATAGTTGAGTAAGAAGTAGTCGAAATCGTTGACAACTGTTTTCTAAACAAACGTTGTTCCCTGAATCGTAGAATATTTGTTCTAAACACACGATTTGTAACTGAGAGGGACGGCTCACAACCATCCCGTAGTTGAGTACGATGGACTCGAAATCGTTAAACACTTTTTTTTTAAATACGTGTTTCTAGCTTAGAGCTGTCCAGTAGTAGGGTAGTTATCGCACTCTGAAGCGTTAACAGTTTGTCGAAAACACGTCCGCTCCTCCTCTGAAGAAAACTTACTATTGAAAACCGTCAACAATTTTTTGGGAAAGCGAAGGTCTTGAAACTCGAGGTAAAACGTCAAGTGTCCGCAGTAAACCCTCGGCGAGGTCGCTTATCAACAACCTAGCCGCTCATGCGTCCAGGAGGAGCCGGTGGCAAGCCACGCTCAACACCGCGCCGAGTTTGCTCGGCGTGGCGCTAACCGAGCGCGAGCGACTAAACGTTCAGACTCTCCCCCGTACCCCTCTCCCGCGGAGCGCGCGTTCGGAGTGGTGGTAGAGCGCGTGTTCGGAGTGGTGGTAGAGCGCGCGTTCGGAGTGGTGGTAGAGCGCGTGTTTGGAGTGGTGGTAGAGCGCGCGTTCGGAGTGGTGGTGGAGTGCGTGTGCGGAGTGGCGTAGCGCGCGTTTGGAGCAGCGTAGCGCGCGTTCGGAATTCACTCAAGGGCGTCTTTGCTTGGCTTTCGCTTGACTTGACGCTTTGCTTGACTCGAGTAAATGCGACGGAAGCAATAGTACCGCCAACCAGTAGTGGGGCGCGACCCAACATCAGCGTCTCATCACTCGTTGAAGGCAACGCTTCTTCTTCATTCATTAGGAATAAGAAAGACCGAATAACAATTAGGCATTCCCTAACCATACCCAATTACACAATGCTCAAGCGATACCCTCACCACTCTGCGACGTATTTACTCAAGCTTCCCCGTTGGAAGATGCGGGTGTTTTTTTTTTTTGAGTGGGACACGTTCACAAGTTCACATTGTTTTATTCTTCGCCACCAGCGGGTCCCAGTATTTGAAAACAGCGCGTCCAGCGTCAACTAACCTCTAACGCACGTAGTCGCAGGTTCTGCCGCGCTGTGGAGCTCTAGTTTCTTATGGTGGCCGTTTCGAACTGACGCAGAAACGTTCTAAATCAGGACGCTAGCATAAATTGTACGATGCGTTAGAGCATTTACGATTCAATTCCGACATTACCATACGTTAAGATACAAATGCCTGTAAAAAAGTCGCGAACAAAACTTTCGACCCTCCAAAAACGGTTCCTATAGTAAGAACTTACCATTCTTTCTTCGTTGATGTCGTCAACATCCACGATCTTCATCGAGACGTTAACTAGAACAGCCATGCCTGCGAGTGAGGAGAAGTTATTTGTTACGGAAGCTCCAAGATGATGTGCCACAACTTTTTTAACAGCGAATCTATTGGTAGTTAACCCTCGGCCGGCCCCGTTGTAACAAATGTAGCGCGCGCCTTAGGCGGGCATGTCATGTAGTACGTACAGTCTCGGTCACGTTTGTGTAGAGCGTGCGAGCAGCCGGTTTTCGCTCCGTGGGGCGACATCTTCAGCAAGTTTCGGGCTCTGACGACGTCATCCTGACTACTAGGCCGCGCGTGCTACCTACAGACCACGTCAAAGCCTGTAATTGCCTGAAGGGGTCGCTCCGCAGAGCAGGCATCTAAGGAACCTAGCGTAAAGCACCCGGAGTAACTGTATACGGGACCATATACAGTTACTATACAAATATCGGCTCTACTAAAGCATGGACGAGGCGGTACAGCAACCTCGCTTAAAGACTTTAAACCACATTGAGTTCATAGGCGAGACAGCAGTTTCTGTCTTTCTTTTTCACTACCCTTCCAAAAACCTTTGCCTTCTCCTCTACATTTATTTCTTTATAGAACAGGTGGGATTCCACCACTTAGCGTTGAGCCAGCAAGGCGTATGGACTTTTCCAATGCACACTGCTATCTGTACTTGCCCAGTCACAAAAGCAGAAAAACGAAGTTTACTCAATTTATCGGGCCCCATAGCCAAGCGAAACAGGGTAGCACGGGCGTACAACTGCACGGCAAAGCAGACTACGAAACAATTTACAATAAGTATGTTTCATTCATCGACCAATCGACAGCTTATTTCAGCCTTACGTCACGTGAGCAAACTGCTGACGTCATGAACTGTGCCCCGAGAATGGGTAATGTCAAGAGAACAAACCGCTACTTTCAGAGATTTTTAAGGCCCGTTAACACGCCGCTTGCGTTGTAGCACAGCCGAGATAGTGATGAGCATTCTGGTTGAGTGGGCGGATGGAGTTGGGCACAGGTGCTCTGGGAACGCCAGTAATAGCTGGGCGGACCAGTGGAGGGGCGAGCGGAGTGCTAGACAAAATGAACAATAAAAGCCGAGCCACTTGTTTCAGCAGAAACAGCGGAGTAAGGTCCCCACATAAAGAAAAAACGTGTTTCATCTAGGGACCTTACAGTGGAGTAAGGTTCCTATTTAAAACAAGTTGTTTCATCTAGGGACCTTAACAGCGGAGACAGCGGAACGCATTGCGGCGCCGCCTGTTGAACATGGTTGAAACCAGTGTCGATCGAGCAGAAGCTTTGCCTCGAGAGCGCTCGCACGCTGGTCCGCTCCGCACGCTCCGCTGAGGGGACGAAATGAGCGGGCGAGCGGAACGCTTCTTAAAATCCCTGGCTCGCTCGGCGTGCCGCGCATGCACAGTTTGGATTCAACTCATGCACTGGGACCGCTGAGCCGCTCAGCTATTACTCTCTGATCAGCATATTGTGGCCCGGGATCTTGTTGAACAACGCGAAATTTTGTCTAATTGCGTAACACAATATATGCAATAAAATGCGGTCACACGAACAGCCTATATTTCATATTTTCATATTTTATTTCCTTAAAGACCCCACAAGGGGGTATTACATAAGGGGTGGATGTACAGGATATAAAAAACATTTGCCACATAAGGGGTTGGTATACAGGATATAAAACGTTTGCTACATTCAAAGTATAAAATATTGCTACATAGGTGTGGGTATATACATTGCCATAAAGTTTCACTGACCATATGTCGAAAATGACGCTACACAACGTCCAGTCACGCAGCAACGCTGATATTGGGTACTAAAATTACAACAGGAGAATCATCGCGGTCAAGATAATCAATGTCGTAGTCGCGTACATGAGTATCGTTCGTTGCTATCGTATCTTGAAGAGGAAAAAAAAATCCAACGCGTAAACTTCTGTATTATGAGGTGACGTCCTTAGAAGGACGCGCCGGTAAGGGCAATCTTTATTTCCTACTGAAAGGAGAGAGCCTCTGCCATCTTTATGACCCGTCTCAGTGCAGCGGTTTTGTCTTCGGTTTCGCTCGACGGCGGGTCATTTCCTTGCACTGAGGAGGTAGATCATTTCTCCAGTGGGTAAACATCAATCAAGGGCACCCTCGCGCGAAAAGCCATTCGCGTTTCCCCGTCCCTGATAGAAGTGCTTATACATTTTGGGTCTCAATGTCTCTGTTGATGCAAGTTTACGCTGCGCCCTAGATTGCCCCCTTTTCTACCATTGTAGTATTACGTTTGGTGTTCGCTTCAATAACAGATTCAATGACGGAACTTAGAGGAACATCAAGGGAATGTAATCAATGCCGTTGGCAAACTCGGGGAGACGGAAGTCATGCGACAGTTCTACGCAGCCAGGAATGTTAAAAAGGTTGCGAAAAATAATAAACGCAATTCTTTTCTCGACATCAATCCTGCCTAAGGCCAGTTTTCAACGGTGTTCCAAGCATCATCGTGGCTCAGCGATAGAAATACTGGACTGGTACGCAGGGGACCCGCTTTCGAATCCCATTGTGTCTTTGGTGCTTATAACTACGAAGATTTTTTTTTTCTCATTTCGTGCGATGTTGCTCACGACCATCAGAGGTGGTGGCGGCGTACAACTGCGACCCTGCAGGCGACTCTTGTTGTGACCTCATAACAGCTTTCGCTGTCACACTTGTACGCAAGATTGATTGATTTGTAAGGTTTAACGTCCCAAAACCACCATTTGATTATGAGAGACGCCGTAGTGGAGGGCTCCGGAAATTTTGACCACCTGGTGTTCTTTAACGTGCACCCAAATCTGAGTACACGGGCCTACAACATTTCCGCCTCCATCGGAAATGCAGCCGCCGCAGCCGGGAATCGAACCCGCGACCTGCGGGTCAGCAGCCGAGTACCTTAGCCACTAGACCACCGCGGCGGGGCTGTACGCAAGAAACCCACGAATGAGTTAGCTCTGACAGGGAACGAACAGAAAATCAGAGTCTCGCTCCAGAACGGATACTCGGCTCTCATCAAGAAAACCGGCCTAAGCGTTGACGCAACGAATGATAATCTGACGAGTATCACTACGAAGTGTGCAGTGAAAGTTGCAGGTACAGTAGTTCGACGGGACACTAGCAAGCTGTCCCAGGAGGCGAAGATTAATCTCTTTAAGAAACGTCGAAGTATGAAAACCTCAAACACAACAAACAAAATAGAACTGGCAGAGCTTTCAAAGTTGATTAATAAGCGTAAAATGTATGATGTAAGAAGGTATAACACGGAAAGAATTGAACATACTCTGAAGAGTGGATAGTCAAAGTGGTGGCGAGGAAGCTTGGGATAGGCAACAACCAGATGTATGCTATAATCGACAAGAGAAAGAGCAACGAGACGAAAGGAGGGCAGAGAGGTTAACTAGATGCTAGTATCCGGTATGCTACCCTACACTGGGGTTGGGGAAGAGAATGTCGAAAGAGAGAAAGATAGAGTTAAAAAATAGGTGGACAAGGAGGGAAACTGAACTATCGATGTGGATATCGATGTGGAACTATCGATGTGGAATGTAAAAACTAGGAGAACGCCAGATGACATCTCACCAGTAATGATAGAAGTACGGAAAGTCTTGGAGGGAAAGCAAAGAAGCAAAGCTGCTGGTGAGGATCAGCTAACATTAGATCTGCTGAAAGACGGAGAACAGATTATGTTAGAAAACTGGCCATTCTGTTTACGGAGTGTGTCCTGACGGGGTAACGGTACCAGAATCGTGGAAGAGTGCGAACATCATCTTAATTCATAAAAAAAAGGACGAAGAGGACTTGAAGATTCACAGGCCGATCAGCTTGCTCCCCGTCGTATACAAGCTATTTAGAAAAGTAATTTCTAACAGAATTAAGACATTAGAATTCAGTTAACCATGGATCAAGCAGCATTTCATACAGGCTACTCAACAATCGACCACATTCATACTATCAATCAAAAGATAGTGAAATGTTCAGAGTATAACCAACCACTATACATAGCCTTCATATATTAAGAGAAAGCATTTGATTCATTAGCGATATCAGCAGTCACGCAGACACTGCGTGGTGTCAACAAACCATATATAAGCATCCTAGAAAAACTCTACAGCGAATCAACTGCTGCTATAGTGTTTTATAAAGAAAGCAACAGAATACCAATAAAAAAAGTGTGTAAGGCTGGGGGATACAATCTCCTCAATGCTATTTACCGCGTGCTTACAGAAGGTTTTCAGACTGCTAGAATGGGAACGGTTAGGCATAACAGTTAAGGGAGAGTACCTTAGTAACCTGCCTTCGCCGATGACATTGCATTGCTGAGTAACTCAGGGGACGAATCGCAAATCATGATTACGGAGTTAAACAAGGAGAGCAGAAAGGTAGGTCGTTAAAATTAATCTGTACTAAACGAAAGTAATGTACAACAACCTCGAAGAGAGCAGCGCTTCAAGATAGGTAATAGTGCACTTGAATTTGTAAACCTACTATGTCTACGTAGGAAAAGTAATAACCGCGGAGCCGAGCCACTAGATTGAAAGTAACTAGAAGAATAAGAATGGGGTGGAAGCACATTTGGCGAGCACTCTCAAATCATGACAGGTACATTGCCACTATCCCTCAAGAGGAAGGTATATAACAACTGCATCTTGCCGGTACTTAGCTACGGAGCAGAAACCTGGAGACTCACAAAGAGGATCTAGCCTAAATTGACGATTGCGCCGCGAGCAATAGAAAGAAAAATTGTAGGTGTAACCGTAAGGGACAAGAAGAGAGCAGAGTGGATTAGAGAACTAACCGTGGTTAAGGATATCACGGTTTAAATCAAGAAGAGGCAATGGACATGGGCCGGGCATGTAGCACGTAGACAGGATAACCAGTGGTCATTAAGGGTAACTAACTGGATTCCTAAAGAAGGCAAGCGGTTAATGGGGAGACAGGAAGTTAGACTAGCAGATGAGATTGGGAAGTTTGTGAGTATCAAGTGGCCGCTGCAAGTAGAGGACTGAGA